TATTGGAAATGCTCAAGTCCACTGAAAATAGGAAGTACACTTCGCTAGTATTCTTGGCCTACAGAGAACACCTACTAAGTCGTGTTTTAGTGATTCTAGCACTTCTATAACAAAGTATGTCTCAAGCCATTGGATAAAGGGAATGCCTTCAGTGTTCTATCAGGTTGGGAAAAGGAATGATACATATGGTAATTCATCCCAGAATTCCTTGAGTTTTGGAATCTTTTCTCTACATTATACAAAGGAATTTCTGTCATCCCAGCTTTTAGGATTGGCCAATATAAGGTTTGTGTGCATGCGTATGTGTTCAGTTGCTAAGTCGTGTCTGACTCTTCGAGATCCCATGGACTGTAGCCCCCCAGGCTCCTCTGTCCATGGAATTTTCCAGGCAAGAATGCTGGAATGGGTTGCCATTTCCTCCTCCAGGGAATCTTACAGACCCAGGGATTGAATCCATGTCTCCTGTGTCTCCTGCATTGGCAGGTGGATTCTTTACCACTGAGCCACCTGGGAATACCCTAATATAATGTTAAGCGTTATCTATTTATAATATGCCCAGGGGGACTTCCCTAGTGGTCCAATGGTTAAGAATCCACCAACCAATGCAGGGAACACGGGTTCTATCCCTGGTCTGGGCGGAATCCACAATGCCTTGGGACAATTAAGCCCATGTGCCAGAACTACCGAGCTGAAGCCGACATGCTCTAGAGCCTGTGCTCTGCAACGGAAACCCACTGCGATGAGAAGCCCACACTCACTGCAACTAGAGAAAGCAACGAAGACCCAGTACAGCCAGGAATAAATAAATATAGTTTCCCTTACTCTGAGATAAACTTTTCTACTCTTAATTGAATCTTTTGATAAACAGTTCTTAAACTTAATCTACTCAAGGTATACAGATGGCAAACAAACATATGAAAAGATACTCAACATTATGTGTTAGGTAATTATAAACTAAAACAGCAGTGAGATACCACTACACACCTACTAGAATGGCCTGAATCCCCAAACAGTGAGAAGAGCAAGTGCTGGCAAGGATGCAGAGCGATAGGGACTCACTCATCTCTGGTAGGAATGCAAATGGCTCAGCCGCTTTGGAAGACACTTTCTTACAAAACTAAATATACACTTATCATATGATCCAATAACCATGTTCCCTGGTAATTACTCAAAGGAATTGGAAATAATGTCTACACAAAAACCTGCACACAGATGTTTATAGCAACTTTATTTATAATTGCTGAAACTTGGAAGCAATCAAGATGTCCTTCAGTAAGTAAATAGATTCAAATAAATTATGGTACATTCAGACACTGAAATATTATCCAGCACTAAAAAGAAATGAGCTTTCAAGCCATGAAAAGACAAAAATGCATATTACTAAGTGAAAGCAGTCAATCTGAAAAAGGCCACAAACAGTATGATTCCAGGTATATGACATTCTGGAAAAGCCCAAACTATGAAGACAGTGAAAAAAAAATCAGTAGCTTCCAGGAGGATGGGGGAGCGAGGCATGGAGAGGCAGAGCACAGCAGATTTTCAAGACGTGAAGCGACTCTGTACGATACTGTAATGGCTAATGTCACTGCACCTTTGCCAAAACCCATAGATTACACAACACCAAAACAAACCTTAATGTAAATTATGGATTTTGGATGACCCGATCTGTTGCTATGGGTTCATTGTAAAAAATGTATTCCTCTGGTGCAAAATGTCAAAAGTGGAGGAGGCTAGGTGAGGGACAGAGGTGTTTGGGAACTCTACACTTTCTGCTCAATTTTGTTGTGAACCTAAAACTGCTCTAAAAAATATAATCTACTAACTTTTTTAAAAAAAGTCTTTACCACAGAACTTTTCAGAGCCATTTCTACTTGGATATTTATATTCTAGATGTACAAGAGCTGATATGACATGCAATCTTTCCCAAGCTTATGTTAGCGTTTTTGTGCTGCACCTGTTAGCATCTCATGTGCCTCATGAGATGCTGTTCTGAGCGGCTTCATTTTTCCTACCCCCTAATAACTTGGTCCTTGTTCAGCTCTTGCCCTTCTCTGGTCCCTTAGATCTTGTCTTGTTTCTCAAACATGTTGTCAGCAAGGCAAGAGTGAGCTGCCTGAACCCCAAATCTGATTGTGTCACTCCACTGTTTACCACAGTTGAGGCTAAACTCGTTCCTGGGCTGCAGGAAGCCCCCCATGATCTGGTCCAACCCCAGCTAGGTCCCACCTCTCACGACACCTTGACTAATATCAGACCTTAGAAACATAGAACTGCCTGTGCTTCTTGGAATGTTCTGTGCTTTTGCAGGTCTCTCTCTGATCACATGGTACAATCTGCCTGGACTATTCTCCCCTGCTCCACACCACTCGATTAACTCCTAACTTGCCCCCAGGACTCAGCTCAAGTGCCTCTGTCCTTAGGAAGGTTTCCCCAACCTTCCTAGCTCCCATAAAGCATGTCTAAGAGATTCTAAGCCTGTTGCCCCATGACTCTGTGAGCGTCTTAAGAGCAGGGACTGTGATTCATTTTTTTCTCTTCAAACTGCTTTTTCTTATCTCTTCAAATTCTAAAAGCTGATGGACCTTAAGGCTCAGTCTTCGCTTCATGCTTTCTCCTTAGACAACTTCACCTGGTCTCAAGGCTTTATATACCATCCACACACTGGTGACTCTCAACCCAATACCTCCACCAAACCATTTTCAATGCAGACGTCAACCTTTGCTCTGCTCTTTTTACAGATCTCCACATAACTGGCTCCTTATTCAGGTCTCAGTTGAAATGTAACCTCCTTCTGACTGCTCCACTCAAATGGTCCCATACCCACCCTCTCCCCTAATCTTGTCTTACCTGGTGTTATTACCACCCAAAATCAGATCATTCATTTACTTGTTTATTGTCCATCTCTCCTACCCACACCATCCCATGAGATCAGGGAGTTTTGATTCACTGTTTTATTCCAGAGCCTAAGACAGTGCTGGGCACATTGAAAGCTTTCTTTAAACACTTGTTGAATGAGTTGACATAGGCCTGGCACGTAATGTTTGCTAACATTTGCGGGCAAAGTGCTCTGTGTGCTAAATGTACCACAGGAATTGCTTCATTTTACACAAGCCCCATTTTACACTGATACACAGGGCTTCAGTAGCCAGGTCACAGAGCAAGAAGGGATATGAACACTGGCAGTCTGGTTCAGAGCTTTCCGAGCCACTGTGCCATCCTCTCATACCCGGAAGTATTCAAAAGGTGTACTCGAAGGAAGGAAAGGGGGAGGGGCCTCAGTTTTTCTATTGTGAGGGGTACTTCTAGTTCCGATGAGTTCCGATGGTCCGGAACTCCAGCCCGTACAGACAGCCAGAATCCACTCCCTCACAACTCTAGATTCCACTGGGAAAAGGTCACCTTTCTGACTGCCTGAGTCTTGACCTGGCCCTTGGGTATGCTCCCTATGCAGTTTTTTTTTAATTAAAATACAGTTGATTTACAATGTTGTGCCAATCTCTGCTGTACAGAAAAGTGACTCAGTTATACACACACACACACACACACACACACATATATATATTTACATTCTTTTCTAAATATTCTTTTCCATTCTGGTTTATCCCAGGAGACTGGCTATAGTTTCCTACGCTATAGTAGGACCTTGTTTATCCATTCTAAATGTAATCGTTTTTTAAAATACAGAAAGTGAGGGAACCGCCCCTGGAAAGCAGAAAACCTGGGTAGGACTCACTCTCCTCCACGAGTGACACACGGTGAGAATGAGCGAGCAGTGCTTCCCTGCAATATTTATTAAGGAATTTACACATACACAGGAGAAAGGCAACCAGGAGTTGTGGTTCCCACAGATGAAATCTTTTAAGCAACGTTTTCTTGTTTTAATTTTCAAGTGGGGTGAACGATGACTGAGAGGAAGGCTGCCCAGGCGTCCTGCCTCATACACCTGGACAGATGGGGGCGCAGGGCAGCCTGGACACACCAGTATGAAACAGCGACTGGCAGGTCGGAGAGGGGAAAGGAGGAACGGAGCTACCAATGAGATGGTAAATTTTTTTTTTTTAACTAGAGAAAAACTGGCAACAGTTTTAGGCTGTTGATAAATTAACTCCTCTCTGTTGTAAACCTAAAACTAAAAAAACAAAAACAAAAATACCCAGCGCAGACGGGGAGAGAGTGGGAGATGGAATCCACACACGCACACAAGCGTACACATGTTAAGCTCTGCATTCCCACTGGAGGGGCTGGTCCTCCAGCCACAAAGCCAGATCCTACCGGATGAAGGCAGGGAGCGGGGTGTGTGTCTTCGTGTGGGACCTTTGAAGAGTCTTTGGTGCTAAGAAAGGCTGACCGAAGCAGCAAGTCCTGAAGTCTCAGATCCAGGAAACAATTCAGCGTGAAGTAGAGTCAGATTTTTGCTCATCCTTGCCCCAGGGCTGGGGCCAAACTGCTCTAAGACTGCTTTAATTCGATTTCAGTACTTCCTTAATTTCCATAAATCAGGGGAGCATGATGCCTCCTTTCTCACCCCCAAAATTTAAACCTATGGAAATACTGGGTTGGCCAAAACATTCTTTGGTCAACCCAATAACTTACCATCACATATAGAAGGACCTCTAAACTCTCCCCTCTTTGCCTAAAATACATCCCCTACAGACCTTTCTGAGCCTGACAGGAAGTTTCACCTTGTGGGAAGGGTGTTCAAAGGTGTGCACATCTATCCTGCAGTCTAAGTGCCTTCTGCCAACAGTTTCTAAGGTGCGGCTGCCAGGAGAGAACCTGGGCTGAGGCTGGGGAGGGAATCAGGACAGCTGGGGGACAAGCAACAGAGAGGTCTGCAGGTTTGCGATGCGGTTGGGCTAGGCAGGATGCCAAGTCCTAATTGACCCGAACCGAGTGACTTCTAAACGAAACAGAGAGAAGTAGGAGAGGGGGATGGGGAAAGAGGAAACACAGGGAGACCGGGCGATGGGGAGAGTGGTAGTCATCCAGGTGTGCTGTTCCTATTTCCACATCTGAGGGCTGAGCGTCTGATTTGCTGCCTGTCCGTTCCCACCATTCATGGACTGTCCATAGCTCAGCATGCCGTTGGTGCCACAGAAGCTCATCCCGGCCATCTGCTGGGTCATCTGAAAGGGAGAGAGGAGGCTTTCAGATAGGAGGTGGGCACGGGGCCAATTAGAGCAAAGGGCGGGAAGAAGTCCTTCCGCCTGTGGGGAGAGGAGAGTGAGACAAAGGGGAGCTCTGTCGTGGACAGAACTGTCCTGAACCTGCACAGATCATTCCGGGGACACCAGACCATGACGACGGAGGCCTCTGCCGAAGGGAGATGCTGTCTGAGACTAATGCTCAGGGAGGGGAAGGGGGAATCCTGGAGTGAGTTGACATAAAAGCGGCACAGGAGGTTATTCTGTTTCCTTTCCACTCTCATTCTGAAAAGAAGGGGCCTATTGTGAACTGGCTGGAGCCAACCCTGAGAGTATAAAGAGAAGCCCCCAGCCAGCCAGCACTCCTGTCTTTTCTCCAGCAAAGCCATTATCCAGAGTGTCAGGGAGAGTGCTGTGCATGCTCCAGCAGAGAGAAGACAAAGAAAAGGAAACTGGACTTTTCAGAAAGAACAAAGGCAGGCAGAAAAAAAAGACCAACATATCTTCACAGTATGAGAAAGCAAGTTGCTGGGAGAAAAGGGTCGGTGGCATCAGGCCTGGGTGGGGTTGATGCCCCTTTAGGAATTTGATTAAAAGACTGGCTCCTGGCAGTGAACAGACAAAACTATTTATCAAAGAAAAATGACTTAAATTTCTCAAGTCTGGTACATTTTCTGTATAAGATCTTTTCCTTTAGGAGAAAGGCTAACTTTTTTTCTTCCACCAACTTTTAAAGAAAATTTCAAATTTACAGAAAGGTTGAAAGATTCGGGTAATAAGACCCATACATCTTTCCTTAAATTCAACAACTGGTAACATTTTTGCTTTATTTTATCTTTGATATATACATATGTATCAGCTTTAAAAAAATTTTGATAGACATTGAAAATTGCAGATATTGTGACGTTTCACCTCTTAATAAGTCAGGAGGCATCTCATAAGAAGCTTCCCAGGTGGTGCTAGTGGTTAAAAAAAAAAAACCGGCCTGTCAATGCAGAAGACAAAGATCCCCTGGACAAGGAAATGGCAGCCCACTCCAGTATCCTTGCCTGGGAAATCCCATGGACAGAGGAGCCTGGTGGGCTACAGTCCATGGGGTTGCAAAGAGTCTGACTCTTAGGTCTCATATGAAAGACTTTCCTAGAATTACAATACAATGAACATGTTCAAGATATTTCACATTATAGTATATTCTAATATACATTATATTTCATTTTTCATCTCTTTAGCCTCCTTTAACCTAGAGGAGTTTCCCGCCATTTTTTCCTAACACCATTTGAAGAATCCAGGCCAGTTATTTTAGAGAAAATCCTTTAATTTAGATTTATCTCATGTTTTCTTATGATTGGATCCAAGTTAAATATTTTTGGCAAAAATTCTAATATATATATATTTTTTGATGTGGACTACTTTTAAAGTCTATTGCATTTGTTACAATACTGCTTCTGTTTTATATTTTGGTTTTTTGGCATGTGAGGCATGTGGAATCTTAGTGTCCCTGACTAGGGATCAAATCCACACCCCCTGCATTGGAAAGTGAAATTTTAACCACTGGACCACCAGGGAAGACCCCCAAAATTCTATGTAACCACTGGATCACCAGGGAAGACCCCCAAAATTCTATGTAAGTGATATTATATCCTTCTTAGTACAAGATACCAATAAACGCATAAAACTAATGTGTCCCAGGTATTGACAATTTTATGTTTGATCACTTATCTAAGGTTGTATCCATCGTATGTCCTTTCATTGTAATTACTAAGTAATCTGAAGGGTGTTTCTTTGTAAATATGTGAATACCCTGTTCTTTCTATAATTATTAGTTGTCATTCTTCTGCAAAGAAGGCTTTCTCTCCCTCTATCCCACATCCACTTTTTAAAAAATATGGACTCATGGATTTTTTTTCTTATCATACAAAGCCTAAAAGTTTACTGGGATATGTTCGAGGTGACCATTCTGAGTCAGTTCTTCCAGATACACACAAAGTAGTTTCTTTCAACATTATATTCAAGTCTTTTATTTCTAGGAAATGTTCTTATATTAAGTTTTAAATATATTAATCCTGTTCTACTATTTTAGCTTTCTTCTTTGTGTGAGTGCTAAGTCTCTTCAGTCGTGTGCGACTCTTTGTGACCCTATGGACTGTAGTCCTCCATGCTCCTCTGTCCATGCATGGGATTCTCCAGGCAAGAATACTGGAGTGGGCTGCCATGCCCTCCTCCGGGGGACCTTCCCAGATGTAAGAGAACCTGCATTGGCAGGCAGGTTCTTTAGCACTAGTGCCACCTTTGGGGGTCACCAAAGAAACATATTTATGTTAGATCTTCTTTGCCTAAGTTCTTTCTTTCTTTCTGATTCTTTTTAGTGCTCTCTATATTTAGTTTCTTTTCTCTGAGCTACTTCATGCCTTTCCTCTATGCCAAATATATTTTCAGTTGAATCTATTCTCCTCTGACTAACTTGTAATTCAGTCTATTTTTAAGATAATTGTGTTGTTTCTCAATTTGCTTCCTGAGTTCAGTAAACTTTCATTTCACAGCTTCCAGTTATTTGTCCATTTTGGTTCTAAGCTTTTCACTTTTTGATTCAAGCTGTTTTGTCTTACCTGCAAGTGTTTGTTGCTGCTGCTGCTGCTGAGGACACTTAATTCAGGGTTGTGTAACAGTTTTCTTATACTTCGTGACTGGTTTTGGAGAAAGAATTTTCATTTCTTAAAATGTTAGACTTCGTTTTCTATTTTCTTCTCATAATAGTTTTGCATAAATGTCACTTGCTACTTTCTGTTTATTTTGTGTGTGTATGCATGTGCAGTCGTGTCTGGCTCTTTGTGACCCCATGAGCTGCAGCCCCTCAGGCTTCCCTGTCCATGGAATTTTCCAGGCAAGAATACTGGAGTAGGTTGCCATTTCCTCCTCCAGGGAATCTTCTCCACCCAGGGATAAACCCCTTGTCTCTTGCATCTCCTACATTGGCAGGTAGATTGTTTGTAGAACCTTATTTTTCTCAATCAGCACAGGTGAAAGGATCTGGGGAGACTTACTACATTTCTTAGTTCAAGAGCGCCCTCTTCCTTTAGTAAAGTGAAATGACTATTTGGTGGGGAGGAGGATGGTAGATCTGATTTTGTGATTCTCACTTCTTACTTCTTCACCACAAGGTCTCCAAAGAGCACCCCCTCATTCTAAGTCATCCTCATCTCTCCTAGAAACAATGCTTTGCCAAAGCTACCCCCTATAGTCCTATCTATTTCAAGTCCTTTGTTTTTGATTCTCCAAGTAACAGAGTTATACTCCACCTGGTCTCAGAACACTTCGCAGCACGTCTCTAATCAGGGCAGGGCTTTCTCTTTCTAGGGGGTGTTTTATCTATGCTCTGTCACCTCTAGCCCCCTGCTCCTTCTCTTTTCACACGGTCTCTCTGTGGTGCTGGCTCCGCTTGATTTCGGCTTTTTAAAAAATTTCTGCATTTTTGGCTGTGCTGGGTCTTTGGTGCTACGCGGGCTCTTCTCTAGCTGCGAGCAGTGCTCCCCTCCAGGTGCAGCGTGCAGGCTCCCCCCCGCTGTGGCTTCTCCTGCTGCAGAGCGCAGACTCAAGAGCGCGCGGGCCTCAGGACTTGCGGCGCTGGGGCTCAGTAGTTGCGCTTCCTGGACTTTAGAGCTCATGCTCAATAGCTGTGGCACATGGCCTCAGTTGCTCCTCGGGATGTGGGATCTTCCTGGACCAGGGATTGAACCCGTGTCTCTTGCCTTGGCAGGCAAATTCTCTACCACTGAGCCACCAGGGAAGCCCTGAATTTCGGTGTTTCTAATCATGTAATTTGAGGTTTGTAGTATTCTATTAGATGCAACAGTCATTGCTTTTATTGCCACCTCTTGTTTATCTGTACAGGTTCAGTTTTGTTTTGATGACTGTGTGGAGAGTTCTAGAATTAGGCAATTACCCGTATTCTACAGGAACCCAAAATGCCTCAGAAAGTCTGAGGTTATATAGACCTTCTGTTAAAATAAATAAATAAATGAAGCAAACCCAAGAATGTCTCTGGCGATATCTCATTTACACTATAAGGATTCAAAGGATAAGGGGGCAGACACTAAGTGAGATGGCCTCGAGGGAGGCTCAGAACTCTTGTCCTGAGTGAAATGGAGCACCTTACCTGAGTTAGGTTCCACTGCAGCTGCTGAGCTGGCTGAACCCCATACATAGTCTGGGGCATAGCTGCCATGCCTGCCATGTAGCCAGCCTGCTGGGTGGTCATCATTCCGTTTGGCACACCCATCATGGAGGCCTGCATGCCCCCCATATAGCCTGCAGGCATGGCCATTGGGGCAACCATCCCAGAAGCTCCCGGCTGAGCTACCATGCCTACTGGTGGGGGCATTATGCTCCCCATTAGGCTGCTAGGAGGTGTAACCCCAGGGAAGCTGGGGTAGGCAGTGGGATACGCCATCTGAGCAGGAGCCATGAACATTGCTGCCAAGAGAACAGACATACAGATCTGTGAAAGAGGAATGCACACGCGGTCAATCCAAACACTCACTGGCTACTCCTTCTAGCTAGAATTCCTCAGACAGATTCTCTACAAGACTTGCTCTGGCTTCCAGTGGGCTGCAGACCCAGGCACTTCCCCTTTAGGGTCCAGGTCCAGACCGCGAGTCAGGCTTCAGAGAAGCCAGACCCCACAGAAGCATGGCTCTGAGTTACATTAATATCCATCTCCTGATACTCAGTGGCTTCACAAGAAAAGTCATGTTCAGGCTTGTTTGGACTATGATGTCAGGGCCCTGGCACTAGAAATAATTCCTGCATGGAAGGCCTCCCGTTTCTACCTGGCACACTGCCGTGACCCCTATGAACTCTACCTTGGGTGGGCATCTGAGGCGTCTGGGATCCATACAGTGACAGGATGGAGTCTTTAGACAGCTGCTTCTTGCTTGTTTCTTCTGATTTGCTCCCTGGCTCTGGAAACAGGTTCAGGTTTTCCGGAACTGAGCCAGCACACCCTGGGGTTGGCATGGAACCTACAACCTTAGGATAAAGGGCAGGGAGGAATTGGAATGGTCCTCCTGGGTTTCTCTGTAAGGACGTTCCTCGTCTCTCTGCTGCTTCGAACATTTGCCATGAGAAAACATGGCTCGAGTTAGTAGCTTCCTGACACTTTTACCATACAAACATCTGGAAATACCTGAGAGTTAAGCTCTGGTACAATTCTTTGCTCCTTAGCAAAACAATGTGATTTGGTGAAAAACTAACAAATTAAAATGACCTACAAATGATGCAGTCAGAGAGAACTAAGATCCCAGAATCACTATTTACTGGTTGTGTAACGAGAGGCTAGTCATGTAACTTTTCTGAACCCTTTCCTCATCCAGAAGACCCATTTTGCAGGATTGTGGTGAATATTTTAAATCATAAGTGAAATACACAAAATCACCTAGCACTGTGCCTAGTGTACACAGCTGGTATTCCACAAATGGGAGTCACTGACGGTTTCAAGCCTTTCCTATTTACAAACTCTCTGGAAATAACTCAGGCTGAGGAGCTGACTTATACGATTAGCCTTTACAATCTGACACATCTTCAACAGAAGTTCACATAAAGGGCCCACTCTTTTTGGGCAAGAGACAAAATGGAATGAGTAGGCTGTAACAGAGGTGACAGGGTTAAGGGAAGAATCAAGAAAACCAAAGTCAAACTCCACAAAGAACGCATGACTTGATTCCAGGATTAAAGTTATCAAAAGCACCCTTTACAGAATGCTCTTTCCTCCTGAGGCACCCACAAGACTCACCTTTCTGGAAACTGAAGAAGAGGGAGATGAAACAGAGGCCAAAAGATCTAAATCCTTCTCTAGGGTATTACTGGTCTTACCATTTGCAATGGAGCAGGATACAGGAGCATCTGGAAAAAGAGACCAAAGTTAAAATGCAGCCCTGCTTATTAAGCCCATTCCTTCCTTCTCTTCCAGACACAAAGTAGAGAAGGCCCAGATGCTCCAATCACAGACCCTCAAATCTAGGCTCTGGAACCACACAGCTTGGATGAGGCATCTCACAAGATTCCCAAGAACACACTGGAAAAACCTGTAGCTCAGGCAGAGGACAGGAGGAACTTGGGCTTGAAGGCTACATTAGCACCATTGCAAAGGAGCTGGCTGGCTCCCTTCTGCTTATTTGAGGGGCAAAGCTGTGTAGGATTTATTCTCAGAGAGAAATGAAAAGTACAGAAATTAGAAGCTGAAGTAGCTAGTAATCAGCAGGAATGGACTGAAACAAAGTACAGCCATCAGTACTATGAAAGGTAAGAACAGGCTCTATTTCTGAAAGGGGCAGAACCACTAGCTCAGGGTTTCGAAAGTTTGGAGGAAAATGACCACAAGGTAAGGAGCCATCTCAGAAACAGGATGCACCTGGAAAACAAGGGTTGGGGGCAGGCCTCACAGGCGCTGGTCTAGTGAAGCTTGCAAACACTTACTGAATGCTCATTGTGTGGGGGCAAGGAGCTAAGAGCCTTAGAGGCATTATCTCATTTAGTCCTTCCAACAACATCTCTGATGTAGACTCATCATCCTCACTACAGGAGGAAAGTAATGTTGAGAGGTTGAGCAAGCTACCCAAGATCACAAAGATAGTAAGTGGCAGAGTTGGGACTCTGGCTTCAAAGGCCATGCTTAACCAGTACTGGATTTAACCACTCCTCTATTACTGTACTGTCTCCCTAGAGAATGTCAGCACTTCTTAGAACAACTGCTTAGATGTAAAACAACAGGAAGAATAGGCGGGAACAACCTTAGTGACGAAGCCACCAACTGAAAAACTCCATCTCTAACTACCTCCCCAGGATCACAGAGGATTCATCAACATTGGTGAGATTACAGGCATGGAAAAGTCTAGCTCTTACCAAGACCCAAGAGATCCACCACAGGAGCTTTGGATTTCGGGGAGGTTTTCCGAGGTAGCTGTGGATCTTCTTTTTTCTGTGGCTAGGGTTAAAATATGTTACAGAAAGAAATAAGCAGGTGTTTTTGAAGCCTCTATTCCCCTCTCCAACTGTAAAGCCACAGGGATTCTTGTGGCATGGATGCTGTTATTCAAAGAGAGTTACCAAAGAAACAGAACTCAGGAAGTGTTGTGTGAAGAAAACCAAATCAGAAGGCATAGTGCAGAAATCAAACCTAAAGTGAAAAACAAAACTGTCATCTGCACTTGTCTGGCTTTCTAAAGAGACAGATCTTTTGAAAACCAAGACAACCACAGACCAGGGTATCCAACATAAGCAGCAGATTTTGGTCCCAGGAGAAGCAAAGAATAAAGGCAGGTGTCTGATGGTACAAAAGGTAATGGTCAACACTTCTCCCAGTGATTAGAAAGCCTTTAATACCAGAAGGGAACTCATTTTATAGGTTACCTAATTCGCTCTGCCAATATCACTACGGACTGTGTTCTGCAGAAAATACGATTCAGAATGATGCTAAAAGACCCTCGAAGGAAAACAGTAAAAAGTCTTCTTTCCCAAGATTCCAAACTCCTTTGTTAAGAGTTGGGACCCAGGGATTGAACCTTTGTCTCTTACATCTCCTACACTGGCAGGCAGGTTCTTTACCACTAGCGCCACCTGGGAAGCCCCATCTTAGAGTATCTACTACCAAAGCCATAGGTGTCCAGTGGGAAAAGAAAGGTGCCTACTTCATTATGACAGAGCGAGAGTACAAGAAGGGATGGTTTAAAACGAATTAGTATGGCCTGGCTTCTGGACTGTTCTTAACAGCAACAGGAAAATGAGGTACAGAAGGCCTAAGGAGAGAAGGACTAATGTAACATCTGCTCAGAAGGTGTCACAGAGCCTTGGCATTCTGCCATGAAACGTGCCTCTTGCTCAGATGGGACAGGTGCCGTTCCCAAGCTCCCATCTGGACTTCAAAGGCAGTGTGACAGAGCAGATCAGGCAGCAACAAGGCGATGGGAAAGCAGCAGAAATGGCAGTGGGTGATCTAATCTGAATGTGGCCCTCTTTTAGGCCCAGGTGCAATGGTGCAATGTGCTCTCAACTAGCCCTCCCCCTCCCCACCCCTCCCCTCCCATCTCCTCCCCTCCACACATGTCAACACACCCTAACCCATCTACACAGCACACATACTTCCCCCACTTACCATTTTCACTTTCTCAAAAACAACAGGTTCCATTTTTTTCTCTGGAGCTGGTTCGCTCCCTCTTTTCCACTTGTTATCTTTTTCTTTCTATGATGATTTAAAAAAACAAGACAAAGAACAGGCCCCACGGTGACTGACAGTTCAACAAATTATAATCCTAAATGTCTCAAAAGGACACACAAATCCCTACTGAATCTGATGCAGCAGTCTGACAGACTGTGGGAGGGTCTTTTGTGGGGCATGAGCACTGGCTTCTTCCACTCTGGCCTCAAGGCTGTAGAGAGGCATCTTTAAAATTTCTTAAGTACCTCCCTCCTTGTTCTGTCTAATCCATGTATGACTGCTAGCATGAAGACCAGGTTATCTATAGAGGTTAAAACATTTCACTGGTTTGCTGTCCCTTTCGGACCCAAGTTTCACTTGCTCATCTTGGTACAGTAGTGAAAAATGTCCATCTTACTTGACATACAGGCTTCAATCAAAGGTTCTCTCCCTTACAAATATGAGTGAGCCAAGTGTGAAGTGTTTCCTTATATATAAGATGTGAGTAATAAGAGCTGTGAACTAACCCCACAGGGCTATCACCTGGATCAAAAGAACAACAGAACATAAATGTAATTTGCCATATATTAAAGGATATTGTATAAATACAATGATTAAAGTTTGAAGTCCCCCATCTGCCTCTTCTAGCCAGAGGGTTTTGTTGTTTAGTCACTCAGTCGTGTCTGACTCTGTGACCCCATGGACTGTAGCACGCCAGGCTACCCTGTCCTTCACTATTTCCCACAGTTTGCTCAAACTCATGCCCACTGAGTCAATGATGCCATCCAACCATCTCATCCTCTGTCACCCCCTTCTCCTGCCCTAACTAATCTTATTTATAAAATGCAGGACAACTGGAGCTGAAGCTTCAATACTTTGGCCACCTGACAAGAACAGCTGACTAATTGGAAAAGACCCTGATGCTGGGAAAAACTGAAGGCAAAAGGAGAAGTGGGTGGCAGAGGATGAGATGGTTGGATGGCATCACCAATTCAAAGGACATGAACCTGGGTGAACTCTGGGAGACGGTGAAGGACAGGGAGGCCTGGCATGCTGCAGTCCATGGGGTCACAAAGAGTTGGACACCACTTAGCAACTGAACAACAAATACACATGAAAAATGGTCAGCCCTGATAATGATCAAAAAGTGAAATTTAAAATGTACTTTGGGGCAGAATTCCCTGGCAGTCCAGTGGTTAGGACTCTGAACTTTTAATGCTGAGAGTACAGGTTTGGTCTCTGGTTAGAGAAATAAGATTTCAAGCCACGAGGCATGGCCAAAAATAAAAAAAAAACATTTTGGGGAGGAGAAAAAAATCTTAATAATACTATCTAATATTGGTAGGGATGGAGTAAAACTACTCTACTCATCCAATGCTGAGAAGACAGTATAAAACAGTACAACTTCTAAAAAATATACTGGCACAAGTACAAAGAGACAAATAATGAAACCCTTTGACCAAGATTGTATCTTGTAATGTACCTCAAGAAAAATAATCCAAAATATGGAAAAAGTTACATATGCCAAGTTCATTCCAGAATAACATATCTGAAGAAAAACTTAACCTTTATGCCACAGAAGGGAATAGTAAAATAAACTGTGATCTAGCTACTCACTGAACAAGAGGCAATGATTACAAGTTGTGAAAAGTAACAAGTAAACAGGTGACAGGTAAAAACATGATGTGCTAAGTTAAAGGAAAGCAGGAGACATTCTATCCAACTATGTTACAATTATGCCTCCCAAAAGTAATTCCACAGGGGAAAATGGGGGAAACACATGGATGACAGTCATTATGAAGGTAAGAGTAGGCACGGATTTTCCACTTTAACATTCATATTATCTGTAAAGTGATATCATAATCATGAAGAACACACACAGCTATGCTTGTTGCATACATAGTGTAACACTTTAATACAGAATACTTTATTTCTCAAAATTAAAAACATCTTATCTGTCCATTTAAAAAGAATACTCTTCAACAAAGCCAGTTTCTTTTAGATTTGATATTAAATGCCTTCACTTAGCAAATATTAATTCTTGGCATATAAATCTTCACGAAGATATTTTTTAAAAATATAAATACATCAAATAAAAAGCTTTGAAATAGCTCTTTGGCACACAGGAAACATTTCCTTTCTAAGTGAAAACATTTAGTGAGTAAAACAGGCCGCTTTCATGGGTATGGTACAGCAGCAACGTAACTATGAATGAATACCATCTATCTCCATACAGCAACTCTTGCCTCTTCTCCTACCTTCTGAATTACCTCAGATACCTTTTTTTTGACCTTGTCTGATTTCATATGTTCTGGTACAAAGAACAGAGCTAAGCAGAGAGACTACAGTTTTCTACAAAGGAAAGAAAATGTCTGTTTCTTTTGGTTTCAAACTCTTCTTGATGGTGTCATCCAAGCCGTAAATGCACTCTGGGTTAAGTCTTTCTTGAAAGAGATACAACACATCCCTTTTCTGGATGACTATGACGTAAGAGTCCTTCATACAAAGCTGAGAAGGAATTATCGTTACCTAACTACATGTATTACCCTGCACTTACTTGCCCACATTGAAATCAACTACTGGTTAGTGCCCCTTTTCACACAAGATCAAAAGATCAGTCTTGAGCTAATTCCAATTAGTTTGACTTTATCTGGAAGGGCTTAGAGACCTGTGTAAATGTAATGATTTCACTGGCTAGTACATCTTCCATTAAAATAAATAACAGACTTGTGGACTCTGGGAGAAGGCGAGGGTGGGATGTTTCAAGAGAACAGCATTGAAACACGTATATTATCTAGGGTGAAACAGTTCACCAGCCCAGGTTGGGTGCATGAGACAAGTGCTCGGGCCTGGTGCACTGGGAAGACCCAGAGGGATTGGGTGGAGAGGGAGGTGGGAGGGGGGACCGGGATGGGGAATACATGTAAAAAAAAAAAAGATACACTATGGTTGTGATAAAAATAAATAAATAAATAAATAAAATAAAAAAAGGAAAAAGAAAAAAAAAAATAAATAAATAACAGACAGAGGACAGATGATAGGTATATAGGTCTTTTGCTAGAACTGGAGAATCCCATATTCTCCACACTTCCTTAGCTAGAGAAACAGTCAATTATTTCAAAGCAAATTTATTACAGTCTTGTCAAAGGCTTTTTGAAGGTTTAAGTTAGTCATATTTATTGGTTCCCCTCTAGCTGTCATTAGGCATATTTTCTTCTTCCAGAAACCATGTTATATTTCCTCCTGCACACTGTATTTCAGATTCTAACCACATGTCTAGGATGCAGAGTGTATTTGGCAACTGGGAGTCTCCTAAAACTCCTCTCAAGAACAAGCATTCCATTGGCAGTCAGTCCACTGACACAATGGAAATAAATATATGCTGGTCAAATTTGAGGAAACTCTGGTGATATAATTACACCAATTTTGGTGACTTCATTTACAGAAAAAAATGCACACACACGTATATATGCACACACATACTATTCTATTTGATCTAGTTGATCTATTTGATCTATGCCCAACATATCCATATAAAGAAATAATTTGGAACTGGGAATCACTGACATCTAAATTCAGATCATGGTAAAGAATTCACTGATGGTTGGTTCATCCCTGAGGCAAAAGTTTGCTCCATGATATCTCATGGTCTTGATTCAATAGCTGGCTTTATTCTACAATTTTTGTTTTTATGGTCTTGGAGTATTTTGGTAGCTGTTCTTCAAATTCTCCCCAGGCCTGATTAATAAGCAAATTATTTATTATGAACAAAACTTGAAGGATTTACAACGAACCCTAAAGGCATTGATGTCCAGACTTCGGTCCATGTATTTCTTCTTCTCATATTTATCTCGAATAAATCCCTCGACTGCACTGCAAGAAGCTTATTAAGGATAAAGCAAACAAATCTTTCTGACAGAATGACTATACAAGGTCAACTGGTATCCCAAGAGCATTGTTCTCCTATCTTCCTTCTGCCTGGTTTCCCCATGTGGCTCCCGTCTCTTCTGGCCTACCCCTAACCAAAACCTTAAAATGCCTCCTTCATGGCTTCTGCAGGGAATCACCATTTCCTACGATCTTCCTTCAGAGTAATGAGAGCAGAAATGGGGTCACTCTTCATTTTGACATCAGTGGAGCCTCTGGCTGTTCTACTGAGAGGATATAGGTAAAGCAGTCAGTTATCTATTTTAAAGTCCTTAAGTCAACAGGACTGAAACAGACATCTGAGTGCCCCTTAAAAAAATATACGGGACTCCCATGCCCCACTGCCAGATTCTGATCTGGGGTCCTCTGCAGGGCTCCAAATCTACATTTAGTATGTTCCCCCTGTACCCACCCAAATCAAACTCTAACAAGATGGTCTACAAGCCATATTTTGAGAAGCACTGCCTTCGGGGAGTTTGGTTTTATGAGCTGGGTGCTATGTCCATTTGAGGGGCTGGGAAAGTTATGGATTAACTGGTCAATAAGTTAATTCTTTCAGGTAGGGCATAAAAAGGCATTAAAAATTAGTGGCAGTTTTGCTGAATCAACACAGCACAAAAAGTTCTTTTTATCAAACAATAGTTTCAGAGATCCAAAGACTATTGGAGATGTCACTCTATGGAAGAATTCACAGTGAACCACAGCAGTCTTCATTTCTGGCTGCGTCGCCCCTGTCTGACACCACCATTCTGACATTAGAGAGTATACGTGGGCTTTCTATATGTCTTGGTTGCAGGAGAGAGGAAAAGCCAGACTTCAACTCATCCACATATAAAGATGGCCCAGTCAGATCATGGGTCCTGAATCTTCTGTAACTCTCCCAAGACACTACCACCACCACCACTACCAATAAAACCATTCAGCCTTCAAAGTTACTCCAAAAAAGATACTGGTCTATTTGAGGTCGCCGAAAGGTCTCAGGCAGGTAGGCTTCATAAAGTCGGTTTGCCTTTCCATTCCCCATCTCTTGCATGCACTGCAATCAAAGAGATGTGGAAACAAGGAATGTCACATTAGCGAAGAACTAAAAAACTTCTTATCCAATTGTATCATTTTACAATTAAAGAACCAACTGAGGGAGTGGCAGAATCGAGATTTAAACTTGTGTATTCTGATTTCCAATCCATGATTCTCTCTGCTCTGCTCCCAACCATTTCCTTCCACAGCTGTCTTTCCTGCCACTCTGTCTCCTTTTATTGAAAGATTTGTCTAACAAGATATATTTGATTCAATAGTAATTTAAGATCCCATTTGAAAGTCCAAGACATAGAGCTGCCAATCCAAATGCCTACTTGGCAGGCAATAATCAGTGCCTAATCAGGCAGGCAGTAATTAGGAACAACTACAATTCTGAGTTTATAGTAGTAATTAACCTATCCACTGTATTACCAACAAATATGTTTCTCATTAGGCTTTTCAAAGACTCCTTAACATTTGTGAGAGATAAATTCCAAGATTTTTAAACATCTTCAAATTCTCAACTATCTCCATGGCATGTAATTTCCTCCATAAGATACAGTCAAGTATAACTGAAAAATATAACTAATCTTTTAGTCCTTCAGTGAATCTATAAAGATAACCTAAAGTAACTTCTAAAGCCATTTTCTGTCAAGAATAACCTCTTATTTACAACATCAACTTCAGCAACTGGTTTTCTTTGGAGCCAGGAGATTTCCCCCCGAACAACAACAACAACAACAAAATATATATATATATATGTATGTATTTCTGTAAATTACTTTAAGAAGTTTCAATGCAGGAAGAGAACAAAAAACGGGGAAGCCACATCAAGCTGCAGCTCTCCGGCCAGGCTGGATTCACTAACTTAAGTGTCTCACACTCAGCCCACCAACCTAATGGCAAGCAGGATTCGTATATGCATTTCTGCAATAAAAAAACATTAAAAGTATAGGTGTTGGACTTTTTTTTTTTAAGTGAGTATCTAAAATTACAAACATTAGATCTGAAAATGCCAAGGGCCTTAGAAAATAATACAAAGATCCTCCTTCATGTCTTCATGGGTCCATGGGGTCCTAGGCCATAAAGCATTTGTGTTTTGAAGGAGGTAAAATATAAGTGAAATAACTTGTGTCTTAAATATAAAGATAAAAATTTTTTAACGTGGCGTTAGTGTTGAATAATTAAACTTCCCTCCATCTTCACCTTTGTGCCTAGTTTGACTGAAATTCATCTGGAACTATTTTCACATGAAGTATGGGAGCGGTTGAGTCGCTCCTGGGTTGTGTAAGTACCTGGATCTGTTCTTGAGTCCACTGGTCAAGGTTAACCGATTTTACCCTGGATATGTGCACCCCGAGATTCCTGTGGATTCCAGCACATCGAATGCAGATGAACACACCAATGTTCCAGGAGGCCCATCGTGGCCCTGTGGAGGTCAGGAGCAGGGCAATAAAGTAAAAATTAAAACAACATTCAAGACCCAAACCAGAATTATTTAGGTTATCAGATAACATTTCAGTTAGAATATAAGAGAGAATTGTTACCACGATCACCTTTTAGATTTTTTAAAATTTTGTTTTTATTTTTTTGGCTGCGCTGTGAGGCTTGCGGGATTTTAGTTCCTTGAACAGGGATTGAACCCCAGACCTAGCAGGGAAAGCTCTGAGTCCTAACCACTGGACTGCCAGGGAATTCCTACAACCACCTTTTTTTGGTCATTGTTTTGTTCATTTTTCCAAAAATGAGCCTTTTTTAAAAAGGTTTAAAGTTTTTAAGTGTACAAGATGGTGGTCTTTAGTATATTCACACAGTTATGTACCATCACCACTATCTAATTCCAAAATGTCTTTATCATCCCCAAGAAGAAATCTCAAGCCCAGTAGCAGGCACTCCTCATTTCCTCCAAACTTCCCCCCACCCCAGCCCCTGGCAACCACAAATCTACTTTTTCTTTCTATAGACTTGCCAATTCTGGACATTTCATAGAAATAGAATTACATAACATGTGGGCATTTGTGTATGGAACAATAGCTTTTTTTAGAGTCTCATAAAGGTTGAACTGCAAATATTATAATATTGTTACTTATGTTTTTAAAAATCCCAGGAGAACAGTGGCAGGTCATGTCACATTCTATTTAATGTTTCATGAACAGCCCTCCCTCAAGAAACTTTTCAAGGTGGTGAGACCTGGATTCAGTTTTCCTACTAGGAAAAAAGATACAGACATGTCATGCCAGCTCAAGACTAAGCCTGAAATTTAAAACTGTTTATCCTCCCCTCCCCACCAGGACTATAAAATATGCATCCAGATTTCACTTAATAGGATCCTTTTCCCCAGGGCTAATGTCCCTACTTTACCCAACTACAGCATTATCTAGATTCAAAATTATCAGATAATAAAGATGCTTACAGCAATAAAAAAAAAATCTCAGACACGTATTTTAATAAAAGTCTGTTACATAATCTCTCATCCCCTGCCAACTTTGCTCACCCTAATAATCATTCTGGAAAAATTTCAAACTCCTCTTCATAATTTTTATACAGGGTAAAAGCAACTTACTTTTATATATCATCTGCCAAAGATTTACTGAAAAATCACTAATATTTCTTTTGCCACCACTCCAGTAGGCAGAAATTCACCACATAAAAGAAGCATGATGTCAAGAGCTAGAGGTTGTGAAAAAGAAGTGAAAAGACACTAACTGGTTTTCTACAGAGATAAATAGGAAGGATCTGCATTTGGAACAAAAAGGACACAAGGTTTTGGTTCTGCTGAAAACAGACAATAGTGTGGTTAGTCTGAGGGTTTTGACAGAAGTGTTTTTTTTTTTTAATCGAAGGATAATTGCTTTATGGAATTTTGTTGTTTTCTGTCAAACCTCAATATGAATCAGCCATAGGTATACATACAGTCCCCCCCTTTTGAACCTCCCTCCCATCTCCCGCCCCATCCCGCCCCTCTAAATTGATACAGAGCCCCTGTTTGTTTGAGTTTCCAGAGCCATACAGCAATTCCTGTTGGCTATCTATTTTACATATGATAATGTAAGTCTCTATGTTACTCTTTCCATACATTTCAGCCTCTCCTCCCTTCTCCCCATGTCCATAAGTCTATTCTCTATTTCTGTTTCTCCATTGCTGCCCTGTAAATAAATTCTTCAGTACCATTTTTCTAGATTCCTTGACAGAAGTTTTAATGAAGGAATGCTAGAGTCATATGGAAGAAGATTATTCTTAGAAATTTGAATCTGCAGGTATTATAAATAAAAAGGTAATTTCTAGATAAAGGTATCACTCAGATACTATGGTTAAAAACTGCAAATACAGAAGGCTCAAGTCCTCCTTATAACCACCAGGTGGTGTTCTCTGCCTGAAATTTTATCCCAATACCCTCTTACTGCTATAATCTTGATACACTCAGGTTTATCTTCTAAAAAGACCTTCAGTCCCTTCAAATCCCCAGATTTGCACAGTAGATCTGCCATGTAACTAACAAGCACACAAATGATCCAGACACTTCTTTCAGTGGCAGTGAGTTACATAAACACAAAGTGGAAAACCTAAATAGATGTAAATGAGATTCCTTAGGGTTCTGTGGGTCTATTTCGGGTTACAGTTTTTATAAAGGAACTCAAGATAAAATCGAAATTATACAGAATTAAAAGTGGGACCAAAAGTTAATAAATATATCATGTCTCTTTACCATTTTCCCTTTGCTCTAGATTCTAGAATTCATGATAAGATAGTTAAATTGTACTTGTTTGCTACAAAATCACAAGCCAAAAACACGAATTAAAAGTTAGCTGTGAAGTGTTACGCTATTTGCCTCCTGACCCTAAGTCTGAAGAAGGTGATTCCCAAACATCAAAGCCACTGTCACAACTGTGGAATTTCTCCAGATCGCATTCCAGAGTATAAAGTCTCTGAGGAATACAGAACTAAATCCTGATATCCTGGAGCTGCCAACAAGGCCTCAGTGTAGAAACACAGGCAATAATATTTTCACAAAAAGTCAAAGGAGAGCCTCCTCTGCCCCAGTCGCACATCTCTCCTATGACATTTTCCCAGTGAAATACGGGCCGTTCCATCTCGGACACTCAGCTTCCTTTAGTTTTACGCTGCTTGATTTGTTAAGCTGTAACTTTATGCTCCATAAAGGATTCCAAAATTAAAGAAAAGCAAAACACAGGAGAGACAGTTACTTATATGGCTGAAAATATGGGGAAACAGGGTTGTTATTGAAAGCACAATCTTTTCAGCCAGGAAAAAACTGAGGTTTGAAGGTCAGCTTCAATAACAATTAGCTGTGTCACCCTCAGAGAGACACTGAAACCTCCTAAGCCTCAGTTTCCTCATCTTCAAAATGTGTACAGTAATATTCACCTTACAGTGCTGAGACTATGGAGGGATAATAATAAAAGAGAGCAACATTAAAGAACATGGTACAGAGTGAGATTTCTGGAACCCACTTCCCATTCATCTACATTCATCAATAAGGGCATGTTAACGCACTCATATGTATATATCAACACCATGCAAGACCACAGAATGCTCTTATTAGACAGAAATGTGAGTTCCAGTCCTAAAACATCAGAACCAGAATCAACTGACTGAACAGCAAAAAGAAGAAATTTACCCTTGATACAATTTCAAAGTCTTCTAGAAAACATGAAATTTTAAGCAGTTTTCTAAATCTCCCCCAAATATTCCCTGAAATGTACTCCCTAAACCCCCACCTGTTGCCCATTTCTGTTAGACACCCGCACTCTGCCTTTGTGTCCACACACGCCTCCACTACACACACAAAGGAAGACGAGAAGCTGACAACTATTTGATATGTCTGGATTACACAGTACCCTGTATTGCTGCTACAAGGCCAACCGACTGGAACATGGCCTTATAGGCAAAGATAATCCAGTTGTTCCATACACACTGGTCATGGCAACCAAGGAGAAAATACACAAAAGATGCCATTTTGAAGTTGAAAATAAAAAGAGACTCTGAGAGGCAATATTCTGAACTGTTTTGAAACCAAAGAGAATAGATAGTGACATAAACTGGTAGCAATTAGCACAACATAAGGACAAAGTCATGGCTAAGTGAACATATTCAACAGGGGCCTATGAGCGGGCTCAGGAAGCATTAAGCAATATTAAAATTAACAAATAATCGCTCTGCAATAAGGGATCAGTAAAAATGAAGAAAGCATTTGGATTTGGCAAATCTGTCAAGAAATCGGCTCTAGTAAGTACCAACCCAGTATCAGGGAAATCTGGGCTTACCCTAACTATTTGCACGCCTTCTAACAAGTATTTGGAGGGTTTATTTCTCCATTTGTAAAATGGAAAGCATATGAGTAAATCCAATTTACATTCAACTACTGGATGGTTTCTGCATAACTGAGTTAACTACTGATGCTTGGCTGCAAATTTTCCTTGCTGCTAAAATTTCCCTCATCACAAGAGCTGCTGGGCCTAGAAGTGTTCTGTCTGGGCTTGAGAAATCAGCAGAGACAAAAGAACTAGACTTACAGATAGCTTGAAGTCACTATTATAATAATTATAACTCATGAATCTCTAACTTGTAGAGTTCCAAAAAATAAATGTTGAGGCAAAAAAAAAAAAACCTGCTAAATCGATGGTTACCCATAATTAGAACTGCCAGCATCTTGGAGCTGTTGAGAAGCTCTTCAATAGGAAGGGTCCAGGAAGGGAGAGAAACTCTCTTCCATCTTCCATCCAAGCCCTGTTGAATCTACCTTGGAAACTTTCCCAGAAACTATCCATTTCTACCTAGACCTTCTCCTATCTCACCCATAAGCATTCAATCTCTCTTTTTTAATGGGCGTAAGATTTTTTTCTTGTTGGAGCTTTTAAAAAGTTTTTATTGAAAAATAATTGATTTACAATGTTGTGTTAAGCATTTATTCTTTTAATATTATTTACTGAGTAGATGGTAAAGAATCCGCCTGCAATGCGGGAAACCTGGCTTTGATTCCTGGGTTGAGAAGATCCCCTGGAGAAGGGAACTGCTACCCACTCCAGTATTCTTGCCTGGAGAATTCCAAGGGCAGAAGAGCCTGGTGGGCTACAGTCCATAGGGTCACAAAGAGTTGGACATGACTAAGCGACTTTCATTTTTCACTGAGTACCTTTTATGTGCCAAATACTCTGCCTGCTGGGTACCAGGAATGCAAAGGCAGAGACAGTGAAGATGAGATTCCCTAACTCAAAGAGCTCATAGACTAACAACTCCAGGCTCCCACTAGGAAAATCTCTCTAAAACACAGAACTGTACAAATCAGGCCCCAAATATAAACTTTTCACATAGTCTCAAACATAGAGGTGAAAATATAAATTGGTGTGAGTTTTCTGAATGGTGTATTCCAAACTGAACTCTCAATCTCTTCCCACAAAATCTTCTGTC